AGACGCTTCCAAAAGAAGAGAACAAAAGGCGATTAAATGAACCAGCAGCCGTTGCCAGAGGATGTGTCATTTGAAGATTGCGGTGAGGGACGCTTCCAAAAAGCCTCAGCTGGCCCATGGCCACGGGCTTCCATCCAGGCGGGCATGATCGGAGCCCCTGCCCTTCAACCAGAGCACTGGCGGTGAATCTGGAAGGGGTTGGTTGAAATCTGCTCTGCAGAGTTCAGACTAAGCTCTCCTGCACAGTTTGATATGGAGTCTTTAAAATTTAAAACCCTGTTTTAGAGATCCAGAATGAGAAATGCAGCCAGTTCTGGCTTGGAAAGTCAAAAAAAGCTTCTTGGGCCATCTTTTGGCCTTACTCTTCCGCTCCTGCGTGATATTTCTTTTGCGATATTTCTTGGGTGATGTTTCTTTTCACTGGAAAGCACGGGTGGGACTCGGAGCAGTGGGAAGAGCGCTGCCTGAACAGGTCCCACCAGCTCTGTGGTACGTTTGCTGGAAATTAGAGCAGCAAAGATTGGGGAAGAGAACTTGTGCCATCGAGACCGTCCGTTCAGGTATGCTTGATGGACAAGCATTGAGTGCGTGCTGGGCATTACGAGTTGCTTCTTCAGCACTTAGCTCTAGAATGGCTTGTGAGCAGGCGAAATGGCACGTTGTTTTAAGAGCTGTAGCTCTGTTTTCCTTAGGAGCGCGTGTCGATGCTCTCCCTGTGGTCAGAAGCCACCAGCATAATCCCGCAACTTTGGTTTTTTGAACTTTGCGTTCATACAAAGTTGTGATACTTTCACAACGGAGAGGTGTGTGAAGACGGATTCTTTCTGCGTGACTTCCAGGCCGTTATTAGTGTCCCACGGATCTTTTAGTCCATTTAGCAGTGCCTACTGTGTTGCACTGCTCTCGTGGATGAGGAAGGCTGTGGATGGTTTCTGGCTGTCAGCCTGCTTTTAATTCCATCCTTCAACACCCCGTTTCTCCTCCAGTTGTGCCATGCTGATCTCAAAACACCCGTCCTCCGTGCTGGTTGTGATTTCCCTGATATACTTTGACTACAAGGAGATAGCTTTGTATTAATGGCATCCTAGTGAATGCTGTAGGCTGGGTTTGTTAGCCTTTGGGTTCAGAGCAGCTGAAGTGAATCCCATCCTCATCCTCTCTGGCTGTGCATCAGTTTGGCTCATGGGGAGATTTTCAGGCGTTTCAGCACAGTTCATTTCCGAGGAATCTAAACCACGAGCTTTGCTCCAGGCGCAGATCAAACACAGTCCACCCTCTGAAGGGGGCAGAGGGATCTGAAGGAATGGCTTTTCGGCCAGCTTCAAACCAAGTGCGTGGTGGGGATACCAAAACTCCAGTCTGAAGTCACCCCCTCCAGTCACCGATAGTGTAGATGTGTGGGCTTGAGCACCAAGTGCTTCCATCTGATCCACTCCTGTTAGGCCAGGTGGGACTGTGGGAAGTCCCTGTCCCGTTGGCCTGTGCCTCAGCAGCCTGCCACCGTCCCGCTGCGCTGCGACACGGTGTCACGGGCTGGTGGCCCAGGGGACATAAGCCTGGACACTTGGCTTCCATGCTTCCGGACACAAACCTGATGGCTGCTTTCTGGGGTGTTGTGGTGGGTTGACCGTGGCTGGACGCCAGGTGCCCACCAAAGCCGCTCTGTCGCTCCCCTCCTCGGCTGGGCACGGGAGGGAAAATATAACGAAAGGCTCGTGGGTCGAGGTAAGGGCAGGGAGAGATCCCTCAGCAATTACCGTCACAGGCAAAACAGACTCGACTTGGGGAAATTAGCTTAATTTATTACCAATCAAATCAGAGTAGGGTAATGAGAAATAAAAACTAAATCTTAAAGTACCTTCCCCCCACCCCTCCCTTCTTCCCAGGCTCAACTTC